TTTTATACTATCCTTTTATATTTATATAACTGTACTCTTTTTATATAACTATATTCTCTTTTTAGAAACACACAATACACTTTTATTAAGCATTGTGAAATATTGTATTATTTATGTCAATGATAACTGGGCTCACTAATATATGAGGCATGTGGAGACATCACTGCTTGCCTCCAAGTGAGAGGGGGAGGGTTACATGAGCCATGATTTGGTTAATATTCTTCTTCTTCTTCCATGTATAGATCAAACTTTAAAATGCCAGGATGAAGCCACCTTCTTGGCTTTGTCGTTGGCTAAAAATAAGTCATTATCAGTACATGTGTGAGAGTTCCAAGTAACACTCCCAACCAATGAAGACTCCAAGGCCAGCAATTCCTCAAAGTTCCATTTTATTAGAGATGTCATATTGGCACATTTGGGAAAACTCAAATCTGAAAGCCCCTGGGTTTTCCACACCTAAAGAAAAGTCAAAGTCCCTTCCCCTGCACTCACATGTCCAACACATGGTCCAATCAATCCACCATCCCGACTGGAGATGATCTCCCAGTCATGCCTCTCCAGGTGCAGGTTGAACGTCCTTGACTCCCAGAGAAAGGAATGTCATTATGGCTATATATCTCCACCAACTCCATGCAAACCCCCTCCCGTTTTCCCACAGCACTAAGTGTGGCAGCCCTGAAGATCCAATGAAAAAGGCTGACAACATGTTTCTGGCAGTAGCCAGATGGGCTGGACTCTGCATCTCTCCATATTCACATAGCGTGCTGTTATCTGCTAAGAGCCTCCATTTGAATATATTGGTTTAGGCACTCCAACCCTCAACCTATTCAGAGAAATATTGTAGTTCAATATTTCAAACAACAATCAGGCATACCTGGGCAACGGCAACTTTGTTTGCCGGCTAATCCTTCTCACACTAAATCAAAGCTGGGAAACCCAAGGAATGAATTCACCAAAAAGGTCTTTGTCAAAACCAGCTTTAACAATGATCTCAATAAATATTGGGGGATTTGATTAATTCTAAAGGGACTTTACAAATTGTACAAAGCCACAAACAGCAATCTTCATGATACCTTAATTGAGTTCTCCCCAACCTCTTGGGCTGCTAAAGATATCTGGATATTTGACAAATTTTACAGAGGAACATAGTCTCTCAAATTGGCTGCCACAAGATGTCATGGACAAAATGTATGCCTTCTAGCCTTGCAAAACTCAACCATCACAGCTTACCTCTCTTCTGAGTAAGTGGACACACTTCTAAATAGAACAGTTTCTATATTGCCCTATTATTTATTTTTCTTTTCTAACAACCCTCTAAAGTATCTCCAAGGCTGGATTACATTACAGATTGGCACTTGGATGTGTAGCATCTTATTTTCTGCTTTGTTCTTTTTCAAATTAGATGAACGCAGATGGATGAGAGAGAGAGAGAGAGAGGGAGGGAGAGAGAGAGAATTATATATAAAGACTGATAGATGATAAATATCAGTAAATATGAATTCTGGGTAGGAATAAGAGAGGTATGGGTACCTGTTGCCCATGGTGACCAAAGGCTTGGCAAACTGTGACCCAGTCTTCAAAATATACTTAGGGTAAAGGATTCCCTGAGTTATCAAAGATTAGGAATAATCCGTCAAATCATTTGAGAGAATAAATATTCATTGTGCTAGGGACTTCTAGAAATTCTTGTTGAGGTAGAAAAAAAAAAGGCAGACAAAGTAATATTTTGCATTTCTGCAAAAGCTTTGATTTAAAATTAAAATTAGATTATGATTTCCTTAATGAAAACATTGGTTAGTTTACTGAAAATGTATGACTTCCTTACAGGATTTATATTCCTTAAAATAGATTTAAGTGGCATGATAAGAAAATGTTTCTTTTCAAAATCTATTTTTTCTGTGTAGAATTTATATAGCTACTTTTAAATTGAACATGTTAAAAAAACCATCTGTTTCAACTGCACATGTAACTGCAAGGATTTTCTTGATTTCATCTATCTGCATTTCAAGTTATTTGCAGATTCTTTTTCAAGGGAATAACTAATACCGTGATGGCGAACCTATGGCACGAGTGCCACAGGTGGCACAGGGAGCCATATCTGTGGGCACGCGAGCATTGACCTAGCTCAGCTCCAGCACACATGTGCACACTGGCCAGCTGATTTTTGGGCCTTCGGGGGCCCACCGGAAGTTGGGAAATGGGCCGTTTCCGGTCTCTGGAGGGCCTCTGGGGGGATGGGGAAGGCTATTTTCACCCTCACCAGGGTCTAAGAAAGCCTATGGAGCCTGGGGAGGGCGAAAAACAGGCCTATCGGGCCCACCGTGCCATCGCGTGCCAAAAGCAAGGGTTGCATATGGGGGGATCACACGTGTATGTGGGGGGCGGGACATTGAATTATGGGTGTGGGCATATTATGGGTCTTTATATTAGTTCAGTGATGGCTAACCTTTTTGCTCTCGCGTGCACACGATACCCCTGCGCTCCCCTTGCTTTTGGCACGTGAGGGCAAAAAGGTTAGCCATCACTGAACTAATATAAAGAAAATGTGAAGACAATCATAAACATACATTCAATCCCACAACCAAGTAAAATGTCTTTAATAACATTAGTGCAGTCTTCAAATGCAACAAAGATAAATGTTAAAATATTAAAATTTTATTAAACAAAGAGTCTCTCCTCCTAATTTATTCTTACTCCAAGTTCTGTCCATCAGCGCACTGGATACACTAATCAAGCATCCACAATATCATCATAGTAAATTGGGAAAAATGTATTGAGTTAATGAGGGAAGAACCCAGAAAACTGGCTTAATACTTATATTACAATCAGAATAGAGAATTAACCTCAGCACCTGAAGTTTTGACAGATTAAGGGGAGGGGGGGAATCCAGAGATCAACAATTCTGTACTTCAGATTGCAAATTAATGGTTCTGTTACTAATAATTGAGAAGCAAAAAATGCTTAACACATGCAGTGCAGTAGTGGAGTAGGAAGTGATTCTAAAAAATGTTCACTTCTCTCTTAATGTTTCCCTTTTGAAAGCTTTCTCTTTCTTTTATGATGTATAGATATGTAATGATCAGTTCCTACATGGTCCTATTCAATCTTACTGGCTTCAGTATTATAAACACCTATCAATCCCGAGTCTGACAGGTGAAGTTTGCAAATTTAATACTTTTAAAAACAATAAGGGTGATGAGGAAACCAAATCCAGAATGATTCAGGTTAAATCAAATGGAGCATTTCAAAATACTTGCAAGCTCCTGGGTTTTCCAGAGCTCACTGCTGGATAAAATGACAGTGGTTAAGGAAGATAGGCATGGGATTGACTGACAGACACAGAAATAAATTTCTGATTATCGAATCCTGTCTGAATCTAGTAATGGACCTATATAAGAATGGGTGAAGGAAAAAGCTAAGGCACTTCCACATGTGTCACTGATATTGCTCATGCTGAAGTCCTTCCGCCCTTCATTAATGGTCCTGTTTATAACTGGTCTGAATGGACCACCATTATCCTTCTTTTGTGAAATTAGACATATTAGACAGTTATTCTGCTAGGACTTTTGGGTTCAAGCCACTGCTGACTTCTGGCAGCTGCCTGGACAAGGCCTTGCAGTTTTCTTGGCAAGATTTCAAAAGTGGCTTGCTCTTGTTTTCTTCTTTCTAAGCTGAGGGACTGGCCTAAAGTCACCCAGATGACTTTGTGCTTAAAGGGAGAAACTAGAACTCACAGTCTCCCATTTTCAGTCTGGTGTCTTAATCACCAAACTGGCTCTCACTAGGACTTCAGAAGAACTATTTACTTGGAAAGACCTGCATCTTTCTTTTTATTTTTTAACAGTCTAATTTGGAATATATCAGTCATAGGCTTTTCAGTTTTGTATTGAATTGATTCTTTCCTACTAAACCCCAAATATATCCCTTCTGATCCAGACTGCATCTTTCTTAAAGTATCCATAGTTCTGGCTTGAACAAGGGAGTCATCAGAGGATACTGTAAAGTATGACTGTGTAACACGAAAAGCAAGACACAAAGAGAGGTTACTTATTCTGCTCTGTTCCAGTGTGTACAAGAGTTTCCCTAATTCTTCCATGGAAAGTCTATTTGAAATCACTAGCATGGAAAGCTGTGGGGCTGAAGCAAATGAGCTCCATTTGAACTCCAAAAGTAAGAGCTTCCATTGCATTTTGCATCTATGTTTAAAATGTTCTTATATAGACATTTTAGAGCTAATTATAAGTCTGTTTCCTATTAATACAAAACGATACCAGTAAGCCACTTTCAGAAGTAAACTGGATGTATTTAGTTAATCTAATTCATTATTATATGTTTATAGGATTGGAACCTCAGTGAATTATATGATCAAATAACCTTAGAGATATAGAATGCTGCACTGTACTGAGATAGAACATTGGGTCTATCTAGTTTTGTCATTAACTGGTGAGAACTCTTCAAGATTTCAAGAGCAAGCTATTGCTTGCTTATTCTATTTCTTTCTTGGATATAGTAAAGTGCTCTACAATGTGCAAGGTCCCTCTCTTTCTACTTGAAACAGTAGAAAATGTTTGATTGTAAAGAATTTCTGTTGTTGAATATAAAAGAACTATTGTCTGAACGGGTCTCAATTTGGTTTATACTCTAGCACTTGAAGTAGATGAAGCATTACTTAAATGCTAAAGTAGCCTTCACAGTTGGATAAAGAGATAATGATCTGAATGTTTGAGATATTTCTTCTGCCAGGCCTTGGGATAGGATGGTTGTGAAGCCCCCTTTTTAGTTTTGTCTAGCATAAGATTGGGTGTTTGTTCTTTTGGTTAAGTTGCATTCTCTTTTTCTATGCATTATTTCACATTTATTTTTAAGTCACACAGAATCACCAAGGGTCGGACAACCTTGATATAAAAATAAATAAATACAACAGAGATTTACAAGACCCGTTAAGTAATCCAACTGGGCTCAATTAAATCTCTGGCGCTAAAAAATGATAAGTTACTCACAATGTTCATCAGAGTCAGAAGATACTTCTGAACATGTTCTTTCCCATGGAACTGTACAACTGAGTCATCAACTCCAAGAAGCACTTCAATGTTGTAGTCATCGTCAGCCGCATGTCTTGGATATCTCCTCCTCTTCCTCGAGGAACTGATTTCATCTTTCAATAGATACAGCATGCTGTCTAGATTGCTGAAATCAGCCTCTAGAAGAAATTAAAATAAAAAAAAATGTGTTTGAATTTTAGATTTAATTTCTTATTCTTTCATAATGCAGCACTTTCCAGATGTTATGAGACCAAAACATCCAGTCTGCTTGGCTTGTAATATCCTTTGATTATAGCAGCTGGTAATTCTGAGAGATACAGTCCCTACACATCTGGAACGGACAATTTGGAGAAGGCTGCTATAGATTGTGTCATGACCAAATAAGTAAGACCCAAGAGGTTCTTACACAAATACTCTATCTTCAGTGAGCCCAGCACATATTAGCAACCTTAGATTGACTCATTTTCCTTTTTTTAATTTTTCAATACATACTATTTAACAGCAGCTGTCCCTGTCTTGGTTATATAACATTTAGTTGCTGTGATATACTTTACATATAACTACAGCTACAGGGTCATATGATACTGATATTGCAAAAGCTATATATCAGTGATGGCTAACCTTTTTGCCATCGCGTGCCAGGAGAGGGGGGGCAGAGTCGCGCACGCACGTGCCCACACGCATGAGCACGCAACCCCCCCTGCTCCTGGCACATGATGGCCTGGTAGGCCCGTTTTTCTTTCTTACCTGGTTCCAGATCCTCTCTATGTATCTGGGAAGGGCGAAAACAGCCTTTCCTTGGTGGCCCTATGGAGGCTGAAAGGGCCCATTTCCCAACTCTCGGTGGGACAGGAAGTGACATTTTTTGCGGCCCCCAGCCTCCAAAACCTCCCTAGGAGTCTCTAAAAGCCTCTCTAGAAGTCTCTAGGAGCCTCTCTAGGAGTCTCTGGAGGCTGGGGACAGGAAAAAACGTCACTTCCTGTCCCACCGGGAGTTGGGAAATGGGCCCTTTCAGCCTCCGTAGGGCCTCCAAGGGAGTGGGAAAGGCTGTTTTCACCCTTCCCAGATGCATAGAGAGGATCTGGAGCCAGGTAAGAAAGAAAATGGGCCTTCCCCACCCCTCCCAGGCCCTCCAGAGGCAGGAAACAGCCTGTTTCCCTACTTCTGGTGGGCCCAGAAGGCCCAAAAATCAGCTGGCCGGCGTGCACATGCGCCCCAGAGCTGAGCTGGCATGCCCACTAATATGGCTCTGCGTGCCACCTGTGGCACGCGTGCCATAGGTTCGCCATCACAGCTATATATTGTCAGATGCCTTAATGGTCTCTTAGTTCAAGACTTGACCTTTATAGACAAAACAGCATGGCTATCTAAAGCACTTTTTTCCATGTAATGTGGAAACTGCTGGGGATGTACTACTGAGGCCATCCACATTTGAAGTTCCACCTGTTATATGTATGAATCAGTTTTCTTTGAGTTGTTCCAAAAGTTCAGTATAGATTCTCTTGGGAGTTGTAATATTCTATTTTCAGAAAAGTAGCCACTTGAATCTTTTCAAAGTAGCTTTTAGTGATGTTTTAATAGTTCTTATTGCTGTTTCAACTAATAGGGTTTAATATTTTAATAGTGAATATCATTTGATTATGATTTTGCTTTCTGGAATTATTTGTTCAGTTTTTATATATTTGTACACAAATAACCATAGAGTTTCATAAAATAAATATTTTTTTAGCCAACACATCTCAACGTACAGGAAGTCATAGGATATCAGAACAGGAGTACATTAAACATGAATGTAAACATTTAAGATGAAAATTAAACAAACAGCAGAAATGGTAAAATTAAATAAATTTTCTTCTCCAATGTCTAAGTTATATCTATAACAACTGGATAATTTGGAGTTGTACAATTATAGTTAAATTACATTATGTATAGTAGATACGGATTGTGAATTGTAATCCAAATATATAATGTTCTTATATTTCACACTAAAAGGAGAATAATTTGGCATGATTTCCTTATGAGAAATATTGCCAAATAACTAGTGGCAGCGTGTGTGTGTATTTTAAAAAGCACATTCTATATTAATATGTATGTACATATTGACAGGCAGTTAGAAGATAGTGCACACTGCTATATGAGGTAGAATGGAAAAATATTACTAATTGATTTAACAATCAAACTACTATGCTAATAAATTTGATTAACTTTTTAAAGTGCCATTACTGCCTTGCTCTACAATCAGATGTGAAAAATATAGGAAAGTGAGATAAATAATATAACTTGGAACAATAAGAAATTGTAACCAGGATTTCAAAGACTTTTTGGCCATGTTGCTTGGATCAGGGGTGAAATCCGGCAGGTTCTGACAGGTTCTGGAGAACTGGTAGCGGAAATTTTGAGTAACTTCTGGCTGGCCCCAGAGTGAGGTGGGAATGGGGATTTTGCAGTATCCTTCCCCTGCCACACCTACCAAGCCACACTCACCAAGCCACGCCCACCAAGCCACACCATGCCCACCAAGCCACACCCACAGAACCAATAGTAAAAAAAATTGATTTCACCACTGGGTTGGATACATAAGTTTTTATATCTAATATATTGAAGGACAAACCGGGGGATGGGGGAGGAGGCTTTTTAAATTGAAAGTTCAATGAAGAATGATTTCTAAAAACAGTATTTTCTAAAATAAAAAAATTCTGATAACCCATATGCTACAGTGCTCAAGATGTTGGATTATGAGCAGGCATTGTTTGTTTGTTTTTAACCATTTAGCCATGTCCGACTCTTGGTGACTTTATAGGGAAGTGCTCTCTATGCTACCCTGTCAAGCACAGCTTCTTTTAATTGTTGTATTTTCAGCTTTGCATCAGATTTGATGTTGTCAAACCAGCATGCTCTTTCCTTGCCCTTTCTTCTTTGTCCACTAACCATTCCTGGCATCATTGCCTTCTCCAATGAATTCACGAGCATAACATGGCCAAAGAAAATCAGTCATAGACTTATGATTTTAGCTTCCAATGATGTGTCTGGTTTTATACAATTTAACACCTCTCTGTTAGTTACTCTGCAGTAATTTATGGCAGCACCACAGTTCAAAAGCACCAATTCTTCTTCGATCAGCCATTCCTAGTATCCAACTCTCACACCCATGCATTAATGAGTGGCATACTAAAGCCACAAAAACTGACCTCAGCCACAAAAACTGACTTTCTCTCATCCCTTTTATCTCATAAGATTGTAGAAATAAAATGAATGAAGTTTCCATGTCAGCTGCCTTGACTCCGTGGGAAGACACAGAATATATCCTTAATGAGTAAATCACCCTGAGCATATTAAACATGCAAGAGGATTGTATCATACAGATTTGTAACAGTATGACTCTTAGACTTACATATTGACTCCTCCAAGATCCCTTCCACCCCTTTGATTATGATGATATTAAGAAGTTATAAATAAATGGTCTGATTCCTTAGAACAAGGGCCAGAACATTTGAACTAATTTGTGTTTGTTTGTTTGTTTGTTTTGATAAACCTGATGACAACTCCAACTATTAATCATTAAAGTGACCCACTAGTTGCCAATTGGACATATCTAAAAAAAAATAATGCAGTTAATACTAAAGAAGCTCATATTTTTAACAATTCATCATCAACTCAAATAATAGTTGCAAAACGAAGAAATATTTGATTCTTCAGATATTGTTTGTTAAGAGAAAGGAAGCCAAAATCCAACCATATCTAAAGGCCTATAGTTTCCTGGTTCTAACCTGGATCATCTTTTTGCTTGTAAATAAATAAATACAATTTACATCAAATAAGATGTAATCTATAAAACCAGAGACAAAAGGAGCTGCTGTTTTTTTTCTAGATTTACATCTGATATAGTACTATCATCTAGTTTTAAGGTAGAATTGAATCTAATGGTAGCAGACAGACATTTTTCCTGGTAACAGTGAGAAAGATCCTAACACTATGTGTTATCATGGATACTTTACTGATTTATTGGTTTGACTGAAGACTCTATTTTTGTTATTATTCTTGTTTGTACCATATTTTTTGGAAGCTGCTTACACAATGGGACATACATGTCCTAATAATTGATTAATTTCAATGGCAAGCAGCATCAAATAACAATAAAATGGCAAGAGAGAACTAGAAAATAATCCTTGGCTGAAACACCACAGGAAGAAGGAAATGCTGAATCTATTTTTGCCATCCTCTGTACCAACCCTTTGTCAACCCATGGTTTCCAAGACCAGAAATGAACTCAACCAGTGAAATGGTTGTGACAGGTGAAGACTTCAGAACTCCTCAACTATTCTTTATTTCCTCATATCTATAGTCAAAGTTCATCATCAAAGTTCATGTAACCCAACTGAATATCTGCTTTGACCTGTTGCTAGCATTGCAATGCTAGAAGTCTTTATAGTCATTAACTCCATCTCCTTCTCTGTCTTGTTAATTATAATTTTACTACATTGTTCATGTGTACCTTTTCTTATTATATCCAAGAGACCTCAACTTGTCTTTTATCTTACTCAGTGCTTTTCCTTCTAAGATATTAAGCCTTTTCATAATTTATAAATTCTCTTTTCACAGCAACATCGCATTTGGAATCTTACACTGTATATCATGCATCAGAAAATTAGGCAGACTCAACTGCAAGGGAGGTTCTGTGCGGTGAAGCCAAATTGAAGTTTCAGCTTAATATTTATACATTGCATGCTGACAAATGTTCCTTTATTCCATCCTGGTTCAGAAAACACTTTGGTATGAACATGTTCTAAAAACATGTGTTTGATTATTGTTGAAGTCAAAAGAAGTTTATGCATATACAAGATGTATCTTAAATAAGGACAGAGTGATGGATAAAGGTCCATTGTTCACTTGTGAACAAAATGAAGAATGAAGGCCAGCTGGGGCAAACTTTATTAGGTCCTAAAGAAGGAATGGAAGGCAAATGAATGGATCTGCCAGAACAAGAAGAGAGCTGCCAAAAGAAATTCCTCTGCCATTCACCCGGAGAATAATTTCCGCAGAGGCCATTGAAAGAAAGGTGAAGGCTCAGAGAGAGATGAGTGACATTATATAACAGCAGAAAACAAGCAATCCCTGTCCTATTGAAGGCAACCAACCTCTGACCCAGGTCTCAGAAGAA